TAAAAAGAAACAAATCATAAAGGAAAAAATAAATAAAAGAAGAAAGAAGAAAGTAATAGTATAATTGAAAAAATCATTAAAAACAAAAAAATATTATTATTTTTCAGTTCAAACACCGTAGGGCAATTTTTTTTAACTGATGATTTATATTTTAATTAGTTGAACTAGGATCAGATTTCCAACTCGATTATTGTTAGAAAAATTACAGAATGAATAGTTAGTTAGTTTGAAATAATTATTATTTTGACACATTAGCTATAATAATTTGTATTTCAGCTAAAGTTTAAAATACTTTTTGATGAATAATCATAATTGTACCGATGTAACTTGAAATCATCAACCTATTGCCCCCACAATCTTAGAAAAAATTCACTCCACTTGCTCATCTTATAGGCATCTTTATGGAAAGTAGAGAATATGAGAAGATATAGGCCCTTCTTATCAATTGTAGGGTGTAGTGGTCCAAAATGGACTTGACTTTGCCTGCTTTTGTTTGGAGATGGAACTAGTAGAAGCCTACTTTATCGTCTATAATGGATGACTTGCTGTTGATAAGGGTTTTGGAGTCCTTTGGTCAAAACGGTTTAGATGTCTCAAACTTGGATGAGTTTAATAAAAAAATCCTTGGTATATTTCTAGTATGAATCTTGCAACGACCGCGGATGCTCTTGATTATGTTAAGGATAACGGTAGTTCTAGTATCCTCAAATATCTCAACAATAGTATGATATTGAACTAAAAAGGTCTCATACCAATGGAGATATAATTGTCCTCGCTTATACTGTGGATCATTCCCTTCCTCAGTTAATGTGAGACTTTCGTTTGCACTCTTTTTACATACCTAACAATCCTCCCCTCGATCAAAGCTCCATCGAACCTCCTCTCAAGTAGTTAACGGCACGAGAGCTTGCTCTTATCTAAGGCTCCAAGCACAACCATGAATCACATCATGACTACATCTTTCGAGGCTTGCCACTTCTTTGTTCGACACTCGAGGATTTCACTGACACAACTAGGCTTAGATCATGGCTCTGATGCCACTTGTTAAGGACAATGGTACTCCAAGTATGCTTTGGACATAGCCCTCACTGCTTTTCTTTCCGTTTTATCCAAAAAGGTCTCGAAAAAAATAATAAAATAGTAATAGTTGTATACCTATTAGTATTGCCCAAACCCAGTGGCATTCACAAGATTATTCCGATTACAAGTGAATTTCAATTGTTGTAGTGTTTATGACTATATGTTATATTAAAAATGGAGGTTGAAAAAATATATAATTTAAATATTTGCAATTAATACAAATAATTTAAAGTAATCTAGAATTTTTTTCTTTTTTTAGTACAACATGTAGGGATAGGGGATCGAACTCACAAAATGTTGGTTGGACAAGAGATATATGCCAATTACCGTTAAGCTATGCTCGTTTTGACTAATCTAAAACTTTTTAAAACCTTGTTATAAGTAAAATTAAAATATATATACCTGTTATTATTTTATAATAATATAATATTCTATCTGAAAATTTTGTCCATATATTTGAAAATTGGTTACAATTTAATCTCAAACCATTAATATGTAAAGCTAGGAGAGTTATTGTATGAGRTCTACCTAATGCTAGATGCCGAGGCACATAATAGATCGAAGCCATACTATAATAAATAAAACATGTTGCTGATACTTTCTTCTCGGTTTCTTCTTCCATTTAGTCTTTGTAATTTAAAGTTTATAACAATTTAGTTCTTATGTTATTTTTTTTATTAGTGTAACTTGATAAAATGGAGGATACAATGCAATCCACATCAGTAGCCACATTCTCAATACAACCAGCAACAACTGCTCAATCATCAGCCACCTCAATGAATAATTAAATCAAACTTCCTTATATAGAAACTCTGTGATTTCTTATTTTAGCAGCTTTGATTGGTTACCTTATACAGCAGAGTTATATTTGAATATGTTATTCAAGCTCCCTATGGAAAGGATCACAATTCTACTGCTATTGTTTTACCCTCCTTTACTGTTGCAAATTTAACTTAGCTCAAGAAAGTGTACTGTCATACTGTATATTTACACATGTTTCTCCTTTATATATATATATATACAGTGAATAACAGAGCATTTGTTTTGCTATCTATTTTGTCATAAACAAATTGAGAGGCTTCAAGAAATCCTAGCCTAGTTTTGATCTAATCTTTTATAACTAATCTAGTGTGTATGATTACTATAGTCGGTTATATTGGTTATGTTAGTGGTATAAATATATTGCCCATGTATTCATACTCTAATATTGTTAAATTTGTTATAAATATATAGATTGTAAACCAAAAATATGTTTATTAATTAGAAATATTACATTATTACATGACAGAACTTGATACTTAATTTTAATAAGGTTTTTCACAATAATGACTAAATTGTTACAAATTTTGAAATATAGGGATTAAATCGTTACAAACTATGGACTAAATTGTTACTTGAGAGTATAAGGACGACCAAATGTGTCTTTTAACTTTGTTAATTTGTATTCAAGTTAGGATCCCACATTGAAAAGATAAGGAACAAGGTAAGTTGGCTACTCCTCTAATTACCAATTGACTTTGAAATTTAACCATATTTTAATATGGTATCAGAGTTAAAAGCTAAAACGAGCATCCAGCCTAAAAATGAAATCCTGCAATGATCAATGAGTCAAAAAGAGTATGTTAAGGATTTGACGTTGATTACTCCCCATCTAATATTAAATATGTCGACTTAGGATTAAAAAAAAATAATTACAATATTGATACAAAAATTTGAACATGTTATCCCTCTCCCTCCCTTTTCTCTCTGCTCCCCATTCTGTCCCTCTTCCCCCCTCCAAATTGATTATTTTTATTTGATGAAATGCCTAACTTCATTAGTTTTCTTCCAAGACCGAGTGAAAAAAATCTGAGTAAGTAGAGAGAGATACTCTCCCTCTACTGGGAACAACCGGAATGCCCCACCAGCGCCACCTGCCAAGATCATGCATCATAGAGCGAAAGGAATTCAAGCTGCAGACAGATAGAAGGGCAAACAGCAACCATGTCATCCTTTTTGAAATTGGACAATACAAATCTTTCTCAATGTTACTCAACTCGAACTCTCTCGGATGGTTGAATTCGTCATTTAGAACCCTTATTGTCACCCCCAGAACAAATAGGTTCTTCCAGGAACGTCGGTACAATGATTATTTCCTTTGGATTGAAAAAACATCGAATGGTAGAGGAGGCATCGCAGAAATCTACAGAGTTGATGAAAAAGGACGAAAATGTTGTATTATGATACCGGAGGGCTTTGAGAGAAGCGGTTGGAAAATTTTCCACAACATGGTTACACTCAGCGATGTGCGGCCTCAACAAACAAAGGGACAGTTCATCAAGAGGGAGAGGAGAGAAAAATCGATTTCTAATGATACTACATCTTCCACACGCTCTTATCTGGATGCCCTCTCTTCCCCTTCCAATTCGATTGACTAACAATCAGCCTGAGATTAAGCTTCACCAAACAACAACATAAATGGGTTAATCGAAGAAGACACTCCCATCGATTGGAACAACACCGTCATCCTCACGCGTCGTTGCTTCCACTACGACTGGGTCAAGATCTTAGACGCCCTAGAGGAAACTAATGAATCAGTGGCATCATGCAATCCTTTTCAGGCGGACAAAGCTATTTTACACATTTGTAATTCGGAACAGGCAAGTTTACTCTGGATGAACAAAGGCTGGGTTACGGTGGGTGCTTTCTATGTGAAATTTGAGAAATGGCAAGATGACTTACATGCCTCCCCCAGATTCATTTCGAGTTACGGGGGTTGGTTGAGATTTAGAGGTATCCCTCTGCATCTATGGAATAGCGACACCTTTAAGAAGATTGGTGAAGCTTGTGGAGGCTTCATTTCAGCAGGGGTTAATTCATTGCGAAAACTGGACATTATCGAAGCCTCTATTAAAGATCGGGATAATTTTCGTGGTTCCGTTCCAGCAACTATTGCCATTTCCGATGGGCAAGGCAAACAATACTTCATCTCCGCAGTTGCTCCGGCGAACGGAAAATGGCTGGTCGTCCAAAATCCATCGATACACGGGACCTTCACAAGAGAAGCAGCCGTACAGTTTGATGAATTTGACCCCAAGTCAGAGTGTTTCTACTTCCAAGGTAACACTGCTATTCCCTCCTCTGTCAACTCTCTAGACATCAACAGCTGAGCCACCCTATTGTTCCACTACCCCTGAACACTGACCCTATCACCAAATCAGTCACCTTGTCAGAAAAAGCCAATATCAGTAAACTCATCACAAAAGGAAAGGAGATCTGCAATGACATGTCAGAAACAAACCATTTTCCCCAACGAGCTAAAAAGGTCTCATTCCCTCTCCCAAAAGCTGTACTTTCCACTACAACCCAAACTCTGCCCCAAAGCCCACAAAGCCCAAACCAACCCAAGCCCAAATCATATCAACCAAGGCTACCTCCATAGAACAACCTCAACCCACCACCTCACAACCCCAAACCCACCTAAATGGGCCTTCACTAAGCTTAATCAACACAACCAATCTTCGACCCATAACCATTAACCAAACTGTAAGCCACTCCCCTGATTTTTATCTCACAGCTGATCTTGGGCCTCTCTTCCCATTGTCTGAAACTGCTTTATCCAACTCCGATACCCAGCAATCTAGCCCATCAACCACGCATCAAAACAAACACCGAAATTCTCCTCTTTCACAACCTGAGCATGTCCTTGAAGGCAATTTAGCAGCTTTGTTCGAAGAGCAAGCAGAGGGAAATATTTGCCAATCTGAAGGGGGACAGGAAACTTTTAAAAAACAGTTAAGTGAATGGTTGATCGAAAATGGCTTGTGCATAATGCCTATCGCCTCCAGCCAGCAAATCCAAAGGAGATTTACACAAGAAGATGACACCAACACGAGGCCAACCTCTATGTCATCTTCCTCAAGGGGCACAACTGGTTGCCCATGAATATTCTTGCCTGGAATGTGAGAGGGCTAGGCTCAGCCTCAAAGAGAGCCACCATAAAAGACACGATCACGTCTTTATGTCCTGATATTGTTATTCTTTCTGAAACAAAATCATCTTCTATCAACAACAAATTTATTAAATCTCTGTGGAGCTCCATTAGCATAGCTTGGGCTTCTCTCGATGCCTCAGGTGCTTCAGGCGGTATTATTCTCCTTTGGGATCAGCTCTCTACTTCGGCTGTTGAGGTTATCTGTGGGCACTTCTCTATATCTGTTCATTTTAAGTTGGCTGATAACTTCACATGGTGGCTTACAGGTGTCTACAGCCCTGTAAAACAAAAGAAGAGGAAACTTTTTTGGCAGGAGCTCTTTGACCTTAACGGGCTCTGTGGACCTATATGGCTTTTAGGAGAAGACTTCAATATATATAGATGGAGCCACGAAACTTCTTCAGCAAATCCTCCACAAACTGGTATGAACAAATTTAACCATTTTATTGATTTTGCAGGGCTTATAGACCCTTTTATGAACAATGGCCAATACACATGGTCGAACTTGAGACCTCACATAGTGCTCTCCAGAATCAATCGCTTCCTATACTCCAAAGGTTGGAGTGATAAGTTTTCTCATCATCACATTAAGAGGCTGCCTAGAGCTTGTTCTGATCACTACCCCATCCTATTGGAGCCGCCCAATCAACAATGGGGTCATTGCCCGTTCCGCTTGGAAAATCTATGGCTTCAAGACAAACATTTTCAGCAGCACATTGAAGCAATCTGGTCCTCTGGTTCGTCCGATGGTTATCTGGGGTATGCTTTAATTAAAAAGCTCAACACTTTAGCCCAAGATATTAAGCGATTGAGAAAGAATTTTGGACCAAATATCCCAAGAGAGAAAGCCAAAATTATGGAGAAAATTCTTTCAATTGATAAACAGGAAGAGACTGGCTTCATTGATAAAACAGATTGCCACCTTTGAGTAGCTCTAAAAAATGAGCTTAATTCTTTAAACCCGGAAGAAGCAAGACTTTGGAGCCAAAAATGCAAGAAAATTTGGCTTTTGGAAGGCGATGAGAATTCAGCTTTTTTCCATAAAGTTTGCACTGCTCGAAAAAGACGTAGTTTTATATTCGAGATTGTCGAACCAGGGGGAAGAAGTTTAGTAACTGATTCTTTGATAGAACAAGAGGCATTGAGGCATTTCAGAACTATATACCAAGGTTCAACAGAGTCAGGGTTTTTGGCATTTAATCTCGATTGGGCTCCCATCAGTACTGACCAATCTTCCTGGTTTGTTCGCCTATTTACAGAGGAGGAAATCTACAGTAGTATACAGAACTTGGGGAACAATAAAGCTCCGGGGCCTGACGGATTCACAATCGAATTTTTCAAAAAATTTTGGAACATTTTCAAACCATCCTTAAAGGAAGTGTTCCTTGATTTTTTTAGAACAGGTATAGTGAATCGTGTCCTTAACGAAAACTTCATCGCATTAATTCCAAAGGTCCCTAGTCCCAAAAGCATGACAGAGTTTCGGCCTATCAGTTTAACTACAAGTATATACAAGATACTTGCAAAAGTTCTCGCCGACCGTCTCAAAACAGTCCTCCCATCCACCATAGCTAGACAGCAGAGTGCTTTTGTTCAAGGTCGCCAAATTACTGACGCCATTCTAATGGCAAATGAAATGGTGGATTTATGGTGCTGCTCTCGCAAAAAAGGTGTTATAATCAAGCTGGACATCGAGAAAGCCTTTGACAAGATCAATTGGCAGTTCATATTAACAGTATTAAATCAGAAAAGATTTGGCGATCCCTGGATTTCTTGGATTCATGGGTGCATATCGTCTGTTTCTTATTCAGTATTGTTGAATGGGAAGCCGCGCGGTAAAATCCTTGCTTCCCGTGGCATACGCCAAGGTGATCCTCTTTCACCCTTCCTCTTTGTTTTGGCTATGGATTATCTGAGCCGTCTTCTAACAGAAGCTACTAAAAAAGGTCTTATTGAAGGATTTCAAATCGGACAGCAGGATTTCAATCTCTCACACTTGTTGTTTGCTGATGACATTCTACTTTTTACAAGCCCAAGTGTCGCGAAGCTACAGAATCTTCAAAGTCTCATAAAATCTTTTGAACTTGCTTCGGGTTTGAGCTTCAATCTCCACAAGTCATCCTTTTCTGGGATTAATATCACATCAGAAGAATTGGAGGCATTGGCTCTATCATGGCAAATTCCGGCTGCCCCCCTCCCAATCATTTATCTCGGCATGCCCTTAGGAGGTAATCCAAAATCGAACTCTTTTTGGCTTCCTATTATAGAGAGGATTACAGAAAATTTGAAAGCTGGAAATTTTCGTATGTATCAAAAAGGGGAAGATTAACTCTGATATAATCGGTATTGAGTAGCCTCCCAACTTATTATCTTTCAGTTTTTAGGGCTCCTAAAAAAGCTTGCAAAAGCATAGAAAGATTAATGCGAAATTTCCTTTGGGAGGGCTGTCAAAACGATAAAAGTCCTCACTTAGTACGTTGGGATCATGTTTCATTGCCTAAAGACTGTGGTGGCTTGGATATTGGCAATATTGAATACACCGGCTCTTCTTAGTAAATGGATTTGGCGTTTTCTCATTGAAAAAGACAGTCTCTGGGCTTCACTGATTACAGTTAAATACACAACAAGACCCTTCGAATTGTTGCCTTCACATAGCAAATATGGTAGCTCCAAATCTCCCTGGTATCATATTTTGAAATTAAAGGATATATTCTGCAACAATCTCATTTGGCAAATAGGCAGTGGCTGTGAGATTCTCTTTTGGCATCATAACTGGATTGGTAATGGCTCATTATGTCAACTTCTTCCTCGATTCTATGCTTTAACAAGTAGAAAAGATATGACAATCTATTAAGCTTGGGATATGGACTTTGGTTGTTGGAATTTCGCTCCTAGAAAACCGTTATTCGAGAGGGCACAAGCACAATGGTCTCTCTGATCCTCTACTTTTCCCGTTCCGACGAATTTACATGGGAAAGATTCTCCCAAATGGACTCTTTCCACTGATGGTCTTTTTTCAGTGAAGTCAATTAAAGGCTACCTTCGGCTCAGGATTATCTTTCATCCCCACCACCAGATCTTCTTCTCCACCTTATGGAATTTACTCATCCCAAAGAAGTGTAAATTTTTTCTTTGGTGTATTTTTCATCGAGCTCTAAACACACAGGACAAGCTTCAGAATCGTCTTCCACATATATACATCAGTCCCAGTTGGTGTCCACTATGCAAATCGGCATTTGAAACTTTGGACCATATTTTCCTTCATTGCCCTTTTACTGCAAGTTTATGGCATCGTCTCTTCTACATTTTTCAGATCCAAAGTGCGATTCCTTGCCAAGTGGATTTATTCATCACAGAAAACCTTAGCATTCCTTTCTCTAACCAGAAGTCTATATTATGGAGCAATGCTATAAGTGCTATTCTTTGGCATACTTGGTTAGAAAGAAATCACCGAACATTTACAGGTTTTTCATAGACTACAACCAACATTTGGGAGGACATTACAGTCACTGCTTCTCTTTGGTCTACAAAATC